TCAAAAAAGAGCTCATTAATATTTTCAAGGAGTTACGTCAAAATGTTCTGTACTTGCTTGTATCCTGTTTACTCATTTTGAATGACTTGGTCATAAAGTTCATAAAACATACTGAACAAACTTACAGGGAGAAAAAAATTGCAAAAATATGGCTAATCTATATAAGGACTCCAAACCATCTTAACAGTGTCAATAATGGGTTAAAATTAACCAAATGAAACTAAACAAGCAATATAAATGTTTGTACATTTAGATTCAAAATGTCAATTCTACAAATACAAAATGAGAGAGAACGGCTTTAAAACAGCTTCTATTAAAATGACCTAGGGGGTCATAGTTGACAAAAAGTTTGTCTTGGATCAAGGATATGAACTGGCTAAAAAAATAAATAAAGGCCAATTTCTCTCCAGACAACATTAATTGAAGAGAAAGTCCTGTGTGATGGAGGTAAACAGTCATACTGCACAGTGCAATTGACCAGAACTCCAAGTAAGGTTCAGTTCTGGCTCCATTCTTTTGTTTTTTTAGTCATATTGGAGTATGGTTGATTTACAGTGTTGTGTTAGTTTTAGGTGTACAGCTACGTGATCCAGTTACACATATATCCATTCTTTTTCATATTCATTTCCCATATAGGTTATTACAGAATACTGAGTAGAGTTCCCTGTGTTATACAGTAGGTCCTTGTTGATTACCTATTTTATATATAGTAATGTGCATACGTTAATCCCAAACTCCTAATTTATCACTCCCCCCATCTTTCCCCTTTCGTAACCATGTTTGTTTTTAAAGTCTGTGAATCTGTTTTGTAAATGAGTTCATTTGTATAATTTTTTTTTAGATTCCACCTGTAAGTGATATCATATATTTGTCGTTCTCTGTCTGACTTACTTTCTCTGTCTGACTTACTTCTCTTAGTAATCTCTCGGTCCATCCATGTTGCTGCAAATGGCATTATTTCATTCCTTTTTATGGCTGAGTAATATTCCATTGTATATAGGTACCACATCTTTATCCATTCCTCTGTTGATGGACATTTAGGTTGCTTCCATGTCTTGGCTATTGTAAATAGTGCTGCAGTGAACGCTGGGGTGCATGTATCTTTTCGCATTATGGTTTTCTCCAGATATATGCCCAGGAGTGGGATTGCTGGAACCTCCATGCTGTTCTCCATAGTGGCTGTATCAATTTACATTCCCACCAACAGTGCAAGAGGGTTCCCTTTTCTCCACACCCTTTCCAGCATTTATTGTTTGTAGACTTTTTAATGATGGCCATTCTGACTGGTGTAAGGTGGTACCTCATTGTAGTTTTGATTTGCATTTCTCTAATAATTAGTGATGTTGAGCATCTTTTCATGTACTTTTTGGCCACCTGTAAGTCTTCTTTGGAGAAATGTCTATTTAGATCCTCTGCCCTTTTTTTTTTTTTTTAACATCTTTTTTGGAGTATAATTGCTTTACAATGGTGTGTTTCTGCTTTATAACAAAGTGAATCAGCTCTACGTATACATATGTCCTCATGTCCCCTCCCTCTTGCGTCTCCCTGCCACCCTCCCTATTCCACCCCTCTAGGTGGTCACAAAGCACCGAGCTGATATCCCTGTGCTATGCGGCTGCTTCCCACAAGCTATCGGTTTTACATTTGGTAGTGTATATATGTCCATGCCACTCTCTCACTTTGTCCCAGCTTGCCCTTCCCCCTCCCCTTGTCCTCAAGTCCATTCTCTAGTAGGTCTGCATCTTTATTCCCCTCCTGCCCCTAAGTTCTTCATGACTTTTTTTTAATTTTTTTTTTTAGATTTCATATATATGTGTTAGCATACAGTATGTGTTTTTCTGACTTACTTCACTCTGCATGACAGACTCTAGGTCTATCCGTCTCACTAGAAATAACTCAATTTTGTTTCTTTTTATGGCTGAGTAATATTCCCTTGTATATATGTGCCACATCTTCTTTATCCATTCATCTGTCGATGGACACTTAGGTTGCTTCCATGTCCTGGCTATTGTAAATAGAGCTGCAGTGAACGTTGTGGTACCTGACTCTTTTTGAATTATGGTTTTCTCAGGGTATATGCCCAGTAGTGGGATTGCTGGGTCATATGGTAGTTCTATTTTTAGTTTTTTAAGGAACCTCCGTACTGTTCTCCATAGTGGCTGTATCAATTTACATTCCCACTGCCCATTTTCTGATTGGGGTGTTTGTTTTTTTGATGTAGAGCTGCATGAGCTGTTTGTATGTTTTAGAGATTAGCCCCTTGTCAGTTGCTTTGTTTGCAAATCTTTTCTCCCATTCTGTGTGTTGCCTTTTCGTTTTGTTTATGGTTTCCTTTGCTGTGCAAAAGCTTTTGAGTTTAATTAGGTTCCGTTTTATTTTTGTTTTAATTTTCATCACTCTAGGAGGTGGATTCAAAAAGATATTGCTTTTTATGTCAGTGTTCTGCCTGTTTTCCTCTAAGAGTTTTACAGTATTCGGCCTTACATTTAGGTCTTAAATCCATTTTGAGTTTACTTTTTAAAATTTATTTATTTGGCTGCATTGGGTCTTTGCTGCGGCATGCAGGATCTTTTTTGCACAGCACGAGCTTCTCTCTAGTTGTGGCACGTGGGCTCCAGAGCACAGGGGCTCAGTAGTTGTGGCACTCGGGCCCTCTAGTTGTGGTGCACAGGCTCTAGAGCACGTGGGCTTAGTTGCCCCGTGGCATGTGGGATCTTAGTTCCCTGACCAGGAATCAAACCCACGTCCCCCTGCACTGGAAGTTAGATTCTTAACCACTGGACCACCAGGGAAGTCCCCATTTTGAGTTTATTTTTGTGTATGGTGTTAGGGAGTGTTCAAATTTCATTCTTTTACACGTAGCTGTCCAGTTTTCCCAGCACCACTTATTGAAGAGACTATCTTTTCTCCATTGTATATTCTTGCCTCCTTTGTCGTAGGTTAATTGACTATAGGTGCATGAGTTTATCTCTGAGTTCTCGATCCTGTCCCATTGGCACCACTCTTAAAAGGAACATCCACAAACTCATATTCATTTGAAGAGAGGAATTTAAGGTGGTAAAGAGTGAGACTGGGCCACTTGAGGCCAGGGCTCTGAGGAATGACATACAGTCCTCAGATTTTGTGATATTAGGTTTATTCTTTGTAGCACGTGGAAAGCAAAACTCGCATCAGTTAAACAATATTGACTTCCTCCTAGTAGAAGAGAGAACTTCATAATAATTAAAGCTTTCAAACATTCTGTAGGCTCTTATGTAAAGGAGCTAGCCGCCCCCTCCTTTGCAGCCCCCCTAGAAAATCAAGACTGAATGATCCTCCATCGGTGGTGATATAGAGATCATTCCTGCATTTGCCAGGTGGTTGGAGTTGTCAGCTTAGGATTCTAGGCTTCTAAGAAGTTTTCACCATTTTCTGTTTGTTTGGTCTACCATTCATTCTCAATTCTCAATGAACTTATTTTGCTTTCAGTATACTATTGGATTGCCTAACACTTTAAATCTAATTGTTGCATATGAGCACAGATCTTAAAGCCCATCACCCTTAAATTCTTGGCTTTAGATATCTACTGTTTTGCTATCCATACAAGGCGTTACTTATCGGAGTGACAGGAACCTAAATCAGTTAAGATCTGGAAGAGAAAATATCCAGCCTCCTTGTAGGGCTTTGAAAGCAGCAGTATGCTGTGGTGACTGATGGCAAGAGAGGAAGAATAGCACGGAATTGAACAGTTGTTGTTTTTACCCCTTACATAGAAGAATCTTTCCCCCTTATGTCTGTTTTTAGGCTGCTCATTTCATGGGCGTCATGAGACAAAATGTGAAAACAAAAGGGAGATGTATATTTTAAAAGACCTAGCTACATCACAATATAAAGACACTTACTATTTCAGCGTATATGTTGCAATCCCTAAATTAAGGCTACTAGGATCCTTGTGTGGCAGTAGAATACTAGTGCGAAGCTACTAAATACTGTTGGTCTTTAAAACCCTGCACAGATACCCGGACATGTGTTTGTGTAGCTAAGACCCTTCTCCATTTCTAAATACTTTTCCTTTTCAGTTCTCATGAGCCATGACGCTAGAACTAGTACGATGGATTTAAGTTAATAATTGCTTGTAATACATGTTTAAAGAAAAAAAATTGTGTATTTTCCAATGATCGTAGCATTGGAGGTCCAGGATGGTACCCGATGTACACTCGTCAAATGCACAGTGAGGTGGTCTGAGAGGAAGACCAGACCAGCCATGGCCCCTCGTTCCCTCCCCCGCCCCTCCACTCCAGAAAAAAAAGACCACTGGAAATATAAGTCATGGTTCACAATTCTAGAGGCTTAACCTAAATAGCCTGGCGCTTCTCTCGGTAATCCTATCCCTGCAGGGCCCTAATTCCAGAGAAGGGCTGGGGCTCAGGTTTGCTCAGGCTCAGTTCTGGGTTTGGGGATAGAACATGGTTTAATGGCAGGAGAAAAGACGCAGTCCAAGAGGCCCAATTCCTCCCCCAGCAGGAGACGGGAGGATGCCAGCCTCCACGGGATCCTGCCCCATGGGGGGGACCTCGCGCGGGCCGCCCAGGACACAGCCGGTCAGCCGAGTGGAAAGCAGTGACGAGCACGGCGCTCTTCACTGGCGTGAGAGGGGAGACGCATCATTACAGAGAGAAACCCAAGGGTAGACTAGTTTACTGCTTACAGTGGACACTGTGGCGCATAGCAAGGCACGAAAACAAACTGATACAAACTTCGGAGGTGACACAGGCCACCCTCTTTTTTCAGGGCCACCATCCAGAGGTGTGGGGAAAAGGGCAGGGCCAGGCCTCTTCCTTCCCAAATCAGTGTCCAGAAAGATGAGTCCACAAAGCGGGGAAACACCCTACTTCCACCCGCATCCATAGAGTCCAGTCTTTCCTAACACTACAACCGCCGTCTACTCTGGGGTGTCCCAACCCTCCCCAGCAGGGTGGCCTCTTCACTCCTCGGCCCCAGCGCTAGGGGCCATGGCCGGTCTAGTCTTCCTCTCGGCCCTCCTCGGGGGCTGAGGGCAGCTCCACAGCGGCGGCGGGCAGCTCCTCTTGGGCCTTGCTGAGTAGGGGCTCCGCGCCGGGCCTGGTCCCTTCAGGAAGCCGGGCGAGGCCTGGAGAAGGCTGCCTGCTCGAAGCCTGAGCACAAGGGGCTGCAAACAGATCCAGGAAGTAGCCGTCCCCTCCCGGGGGGCCCCCCAGAGCTGGTGGACAGAAGGAACTGGGCAAGGGCAGGTCTGGCAAGCAGGGGTCATTCCAGGGGACTGTACCTGTGGGATCAAAGAGCAAAACAGAGTAAGTAGGATGACGGGTACCAACCACGTTCAACGTGTTCTGTGACAGAGTCCCCTCCCTGCTCCACAGAAACACGGTTTAGGACCCTGGAGCAAGTCTCCCCTCAGGACCAGGCAGGCTCCTGTCTCGAGGTCCTACGTCTGGGTAACAGTGACACAAAGTGGACCGTGGGTCAGGCCGAGTGAGTGCCCTCTCATGCAGGCAGGAGACTGGGAACCAGCATCTTTCTTCGCCTTCTGCTGGAACTGAGTCCTCCTAAGATGGTCACTTCCAGGATTTCAGGGTCTAGGTGGCCCATCGGATACGCACATCAGCTCCCATCTATCCCGTGCCAAGTATTCCACGCCTGTGCTTCCTAATCTTCAGCAAGCCCTCTAAGATATGGGAATATTATCCCCGTTTGAGAATCCAGGAACCTCAGGAGAGCCCAGAGCTGAGCTGGACTTTAAACTTTGCGTTTCCTCACTCCAAAGCTCTCTTGCTGATTCTTACCCTGCTCTGAAACCTCCAAGAAACTGGAGGAAGGAGAGCTTCGTAAGGACAAGCGGGCTTTCTTTAAGTAACAGCGATCCACTCACCCCGTGCCTTCCCTCCAGCTCACGAGGCTCTCTCCCTTCTCACCGTCCTCACTCACCAAAGGCCCCTTTCTTTTCCAGCCCCGACTCACCCATGTTCCCAGCGGGTGGCTGCAGCGGGATCTGCCCTGATGGAGGGCCTTGGAAGTGGCCCTGGGATGTGCCCCCGCTGGGGCCATAGGACAGTGCAGACAGAGAGTCTTCCAGCAGTGGAGGGGTCAGGGAGCTGGGCATGTGGAAGGGGAAGGGGTGCAGGTATGGAAACTGGGGCTGGGGGTGTTGGAAAAGCTGGCTCTGTGGAGCCTGGGAGAACTGGAACGGTCCTGGCTGGCTGCTGGGTTGATATTCCTGGGGTTCCAGCTCCTCCAAGTACGAGCAGGCGGGGGGTGGCGTGACGCTGAGAGAGACAGAGGAGTATTTCGTGCGGCTTGCGGGGCGGCCCCATTCCTACCGCGCAGCGAGGCTCCCCTCCCCCATCTCCACGACCCCCAGACCTGCCGCCTCCTGTTCTTTCTCCTGCTCTAGCTTCTCGTCCTCGTTCCTGCGCTACTGCTGTGATGTCCTAGATCCTTCGCACCCCAATCCACTTACCCTTTTAATCCTCACCACGTTTACTACTCCTTGCTTCTCTCAGTTACCCACCCCCCTCCCGAGCTCCATCTATCTTTCCTCCTCCCGCACCTCCCCCAGGATAAGTCAAGTACCACCGCCATTAGGTTGCGTACCTTGTCCCCCACGACCCACAAGGGCCATCCTTGCGGCTGTTCTCGTTGCCTGGGGTATCCAGCAGCAAAGACATCAGCTGGGAGGTGTGCACGGGGCCGAGGGGGAAAGGAAGGCTGGCTCTTCGGACAGGTGGGGGGCTGAATAGTGGTGGGGTCACTTCCACCCTCTGGGCACCCTCACTCTGTTGGGTCGGGGCCAGAGTCTGGTCAGATGTCAGCAGCATGGGGGGCTCTAGGAACAGAGGTCAAAGGGGGGTTGTAAGAGTATGAAAGTGGGGGGGCAGCCTTGGCAGCGCTGGATGTGGTCCAAGTGCACAAAGCCCGGGTCCCCCTGAACGAAACCGTGGGGAACTCCGGCCACTCCCAGGTCTTTCAAGAAACAGCCCTTTGGCTCTGCCATCTTCCCCGCCGCTGTATTCCCCAGACAACCCTCGGAAGGTGGACAGCTCACCTGGAAGGGGATCCAGTGGGGGCTCCTGAGCGAAGGTCCCAGGCTCCCGGTCCGCGGGCACAGCAGGTGGCGGTCCGGCTGTAGAGCTAGAGGGAGACGAGTGAAGACTGTAGCTCGGGCAGTCCCTGGATTCAGACTGGGGCTTCAGTGTAGGGGAAGGGACCCAGATTTCCAAACTGTGCCTCCTACAAGCAGACTGGGGCTTCAGTGTGGGGAAAGGGACCCAGATTTCCAAACTGTGCCTCCTACAAGGCGCTGGGCAACTTCCCAACCCCATGCAGTCAAAATCCCTCTAACTATTAGCCAACAACTCCCTATGCCCAGCCTTCCAGTCCCTTCTCCCCCTAGGGCCCAGGATCCCAGCTCAGCCCCCAATTCCTGCCCATGGGGATGGGCCAGGAAGAGGAGAAAGTCTTACCTGCACTGGTTGCTGGTGGGGCTGAGGGCAGAGCCAGCAGTAGCGTCCGTGCTCTCCTTCCCAGTCATTTTCTCCACTTTTCGCCACTTTGCCCGGCGATTCTGGAACCACACCTGTAGGGGAGAGACACCCGAAGAGCTTGAGAAACAGGGTAGAGCCTGAGGCTCAGTCCTGCTGCCCCATGATGTCTCCGTGACTGCAGGAGGTCACCGCAGCACTCAGATTGGCAGGGAAAGGTTCATCGAGATGGCCTCTGAGGCACTTTCCTCTTCTCATACTCTAAGGCTGTGGCAGCGTGGAGACAGGCACGAACACAGCCCCACCTGAGGCCTCGCCCAGGCCCCGTCTGGGAGGCGCTGAGGACTTGCTTGGCTCTCCCAGAGGGGCCGGCACGCGGGCTCCCCTCCACCCCACCCCAGGGCCAGGGCCCTTTACCATGATGCGCTGGGGGGCGACTCCCACCCTCTGGGCAATCTCCCGGCGCTTATCGCTGTCCGGATAGTGGTCTTCTTGGAAGAGCTTTTCTAGCTCCTCCAGCTGGTCTGGAAGAAGAAAACACTGGCTTGAGGATGAACACCAGTGATGCGGAAGCAGAGGAGAAAAACAGATGCCCTCCAGAGGGGACCGCTGTCCCCAACCCGAGGGCCTCCCCAGAGCCCTGCGACTAAGCTCCCCATTGGGCTGGGGCCTCCTGTCTCTCAGGCTTTGTGGCAGGGAACTGTGTGGTGTTTACTTTCCTGCCCCTTCTACCCTGGGCCCAATTTCATATTCTGATGAGAAAACCCAACCTTTCCCTCTGAGGTCAGAGGTCATGGCCTGCACAGGTCAAGAGAGGACCCAGCCAAGGTGCTGTGCAAACAAACCACACTCCTCTCTCCTGGGGCTGCTGCATGCTCTGTTGAGCCCAGCTTTCCCAGAGATGAGACCAGGTCCCCTAGGTTTCCGCTCGTTCAGGGACTTACCCGAGCGGTATAGAGTCCGCGTCTTTTTCCGGCCTTGGCAGGTCACATCCGGGGACTTCTTCTGGCCTGTGTTTTGGCCGTTCTGGGCCAACGTGCTGAGGAGGTTGGCCAGATGGCAGGAGCCCCGGCCTGACCCACAAGGCACTGGGTTGTACGTGGCCCGGGCTGGGTTAGCGACACTGGGAGATGCCGTGGAGTCCAGGCCCACAGCGTTAGGCTTTTTCTGCTTACCAGCGGCTGGAGAGTAGGGCCTCTTCCCCAGCTTCCCCTCTCGCACCGGGAGAGGATGCCCTTCCCCCTGAGGCTGGGGTCTAGGCGGGCCCAGGGCTCTGTCTTTGCGGAGAGCCCCTGAGCCCTGGCGCGGGCAGGCTCTCCCAGCACCAGCCCCAGCAACTCCTCCAGGGGCCTCTGATGGTTGCTTCTCCCCGGGAGCGGTGCAGGAGCGGGGCACGTCCTCACTTGGGGCTTCCTGAGTGTGGGGGGCTGAACTCTGCAGGGCTTCCTCCTCCTCTAGCCTGGCAGCCAGCGGCTTGTCTCCGCCCTCCTGACCTGTGGAGAGCCAGCACCTGCTGACCTTAGCTCGGGAGAAGGAACAGCCTGGACCAGGAGGGCTGCTTCCTGGCCTGCAACGGGTGTTCTGTTTGATCTGAAGCTTTAATTTGTCCACTTATCAAATGGGGTAATCATTCCAGGCGTACCTTCCTAACTCTGCTACTGTGAGGGTCAAATTAGATTATCCCACAGCTTGGACACGCAAAAGCCAATAGATGCAGCCACGAGGGGCCTGAGCTCGGTACCTAGACAGTAGGCGTGCAATCCTAATTTGGGGGGAACTTACTCTCTGTGAGTTCCCTGTTTTCTCCCCGAGACCTGGAATGTGAGTTTGAGGGACAGGCATCTATTCAGGGGTTTCTAGGGGACAAATGTTGGAGTAGACTCTGGGAAGAGAGAGAGGAATCGATGGAGACTGTGCTGTTTCTCAGACTGGATCTCGTTCCTGCGGCAGACACAGGCATCAGTGCTCAGAGCAGGGACGCGGCGGGACTGAGTGGTCTCCAGGAGCCCAGGCAAGGACATCAAAGGAGCTAACAGGAATGTCCACCCCGACCTCCCACAGAACTCACTGTGTCCTCGGCCACCCTCCTCTCCCTCATGCACACCCCCATCCCCTCCCTGCAAAGCAGAACCTCACTCAGGGGCCTTGGGCCCAGGTGAGCGCCCTCCTTTTACAGGTAAGGAAGAGTGGCCTGGCTGGCACTCATCCTCCAAGCTTGTCTGTCCTTCTCTGAGCTATGACTGATTCATCAGGAGTTTACCATGTCCCAGGCATTGTGCTAGGCACCTTTCAAAGATTAGTCCAGCATGCATTTAATCCTTGTGAGGAAGGCATATTTATAGCTCATTCTAATACGGAGAAATGTGGATAACAAAGCTGAGTGGTTTGCCCAAGCTCACACAGCGCCGTGCTCTAGACCACTAGACAGAGTCCTTTCTGGGGTCACCAATCCAGCCACCATTCCCCTCCCAACTTACTCATAACCTCCAGATCCCAAACTGTCTCAGCTCAAGGAGCCGCTTTATCATTTCTAACTAAATTGGAACATTTTTAAGTGGATGCTCACTACTAAGAGCGAGGTTTGTTTTTGTTTTTGTTTTTTTAATGAAAGTTGCGTGAGATAGGCTGTCTTAAGGAATTACTTTCTAACAATGTGTAAGAAAGATGTAGGTCATGGGCTAAGGCGCTTGCTTTGTCAGATTGTTTCCTAGGGTACAAGCTGGTGAAGCGGGTTTGCAGGCCTTTATGGTGGCATGAAGTGCTGAGGCTGGATGGTGAAATGGGGAGGGAGGGGCACACCGGTTTTACAGCATTTTAGGAGCGCTCGTAGCCTAGCAAACCCGGTACACAGTAGGTGCTCAATAAATGCGACGTACCCGGGTGATAGGCCCCGGTAAGAAAGGTGACGGGTGTGGGAACCTAGAGCAGAAGAATCACGGCCCTGCTTTTCTTCCCTTCGTCCTCGGGGATCCGAACGCCAAGGACGTGGGGCGCGGCGTGGTGGGCTCCCTGGCCCCCCGCCCCCTCCAGCCCCTCTCAACTCCCCTCCAACCCCTACCCTCGGCCTGCCGCTGGGCCCCAGCCCCTCAGGACCCCGCGCACTCACCCCGCGGCTGCGGGCCACGCTCCGGGCTGAGCTCCATTGCCTGGACTCCAGCACGCGGCTGCCGGACTGCTTTTGCGCGCCGCCTAATGAAGCCTCGCGCTCCGGCAGCTGCGCGGAGCTGCGAGCGTGGGGGGCCAGCGCCCTCACCCCGCCGCCGGCGAGGCCCACTCGGGAGGGCGGTGCCTGGGGCAGCTGCGGGCTGCCGAGGCCCGGGGGCCATGCCGCTTCCCGCCCCCGCCGAGGCCCAAACCGGGTCAGGTGCGGGCTCCGCTGCGGCCCCTCCCCGGTGGGTGGGGGCTGCACGCGGGGCGTGGGCTAGAGCCCGCCTACTGGGTCGCGGTCGGGAGGCTCGCCCTAGAGGGCCAGGGCGTTCGGCTGGGGGAGGGGGGCCGCCTCCCTGGGCCGGACTTGGCAATGGGTTTGGTGGCGCCTTTGGCCTTGGAGACAGAGTCCTTCCTGTGGAAGGCGACTTGGGGAGCCACTTATCAAGGGAGCTCCAAACCCTTAACAAGGGTTGCCCATCTCCCAGCTGCATCGTTGAGGTTTCCCCAAGCCTCAGGATAAATGAGCCCCCCCAAGACCCCATGCTGATTGGAAGGTCCATAGAGCACAGAGCTGTCCTGGAGGATGAAAGCGAGCTGGAAGAACCCAGGCTTCAGGGTGAAGTGGACACCTCTTGAATGGGACGCAGTTGGACGCGCACGGGAGGCCGCAGGTAAGCCGGGAGAAAGCACTAGCTCGTCAAAGTTTTGTCTCATGTTTCCACCCACTTGATATCAGTTTTGCTGGCCGGTAATGAAGGAGCGTCTCATAAGGGAGATCTCACAGGTGTGATCTTCACGACTCCAGTTCTTGGAATGTTTCTTGACTGCTTTATAACATAATTTCAGGATTTAAAATCCTCATGGCCTCTTCCTTCCATCTGCCCTTGAGTGGGAGGTGCTGGCCAGATGTACAAGCTGGTGAAGCGGGTTTGCAGGCCTTTATGGTGGCATGAAGTGCTGAGGCTGGATGGTGAAATGGGGAGGGAGGGGCACACCGGTTTTACAGCATTTTAGGAGCGCTCGTAGCCTAGCAAACCCGGTACACAGTAGGTGCTCAATAAATGCGACGTACCCGGGTGATAGGCCCCGGTAAGAAAGGTGACGGGTGTGGGAACCTAGAGCAGAAGAATCACGGCCCTGCTTTTCTTCCCTTCGTCCTCGGGGATCCGAACGCCAAGGACGTGGGGCGCGGCGTGGTGGGCTCCCTGGCCCCCCGCCCCCTCCAGCCCCTCTCAACTCCCCTCCAACCCCTACCCTCGGCCTGCCGCTGGGCCCCAGCCCCTCAGGACCCCGCGCACTCACCCCGCGGCTGCGGGCCACGCTCCGGGCTGAGCTCCATTGCCTGGACTCCAGCACGCGGCTGCCGGACTGCTTTTGCGCGCCGCCTAATGAAGCCTCGCGCTCCGGCAGCTGCGCGGAGCTGCGAGCGTGGGGGGCCAGCGCCCTCACCCCGCCGCCGGCGAGGCCCACTCGGGAGGGCGGTGCCTGGGGCAGCTGCGGGCTGCCGAGGCCCGGGGGCCATGCCGCTTCCCGCCCCCGCCGAGGCCCAAACCGGGTCAGGTGCGGGCTCCGCTGCGGCCCCTCCCCGGTGGGTGGGGGCTGCACGCGGGGCGTGGGCTAGAGCCCGCCTACTGGGTCGCGGTCGGGAGGCTCGCCCTAGAGGGCCAGGGCGTTCGGCTGGGGGAGGGGGGCCGCCTCCCTGGGCCGGACTTGGCAATGGGTTTGGTGGCGCCTTTGGCCTTGGAGACAGAGTCCTTCCTGTGGAAGGCGACTTGGGGAGCCACTTATCAAGGGAGCTCCAAACCCTTAACAAGGGTTGCCCATCTCCCAGCTGCATCGTTGAGGTTTCCCCAAGCCTCAGGATAAATGAGCCCCCCCAAGACCCCATGCTGATTGGAAGGTCCATAGAGCACAGAGCTGTCCTGGAGGATGAAAGCGAGCTGGAAGAACCCAGGCTTCAGGGTGAAGTGGACACCTCTTGAATGGGACGCAGTTGGACGCGCACGGGAGGCCGCAGGTAAGCCGGGAGAAAGCACTAGCTCGTCAAAGTTTTGTCTCATGTTTCCACCCACTTGATATCAGTTTTGCTGGCCGGTAATGAAGGAGCGTCTCATAAGGGAGATCTCACAGGTGTGATCTTCACGACTCCAGTTCTTGGAATGTTTCTTGACTGCTTTATAACATAATTTCAGGATTTAAAATCCTCATGGCCTCTTCCTTCCATCTGCCCTTGAGTGGGAGGTGCTGGCCAGATTGAAACAGGTGCTTGGTGCTGGAGGTTTGGGGGTGGGGTGGGGGTGGGGGGGATTTAAAAGACTCTGGACACCACGTGCTTTCCTGCTGTAATCACCTATTGGTAAGTTTCCCTGTGCCTTAAATTCCTTTCAGGAGCTTGGCCTACACACATGAACTTTGGAGAATTAGGAGTTCTTTCTGAAATATAAAAATTATAAACGAGTTAACTCCGTGACAACATGACCAAAATTCCAGGCATCTGGTGTTTCATTCTGACTCCTATAAGACTAATATCCTCTAATAAATGAGGGGTTTAAAAATAGGGCCCAGTCTCAGCTAGAAAGGAAGCATTCTAGGCCATGTGAGCAAGGAATGGGGGGCAGTGAAGTCGCTTTCTTTGTGAAACATCATCATTTGGTGGTGACATGGTGGTAAATGGAATGCAATAGTCTGCCTGATTAAACATTTACAGGACACCTACCGTGTGCCAGGCACTGTGCACAAGTCACTTCCTGCCTGCACAAGCTTACTGGCAGAGAGGGGATTAGAGCAGTGACACAAGTAAATGGACAGCGTCCATACAAGGAGGTCGGTGGTGAGCTAGAAGGATGCATAGAGGAGCAGGAAGCTCTGCTGGACTTGGATTGGGGGTGGGGCAGGAAAGGCCTTCTTGGAGAGGGTGACACATGAGCTTTGAGGTGAAGTTTAAGGGAGAGGCATTCTTACCAAGTCACAGCCCTGCTTAAACCCTGAAGTGGCCCTTGCCTGCCTGTGTGATCAAAACCAACCTCCCTAACCAGGAGAGGAGGCTTCTGATGTCTGATTCTTTCCACTGAAGCTTCAGCTCGCCTGCTTCCCTCACCCAAGTATTCCAGTTTTAATGTCTCTTTGGACCTAGTGTTTTTCAAGGAGTGTTGACACCCTGGATCAGAGTTTCCTAGGGAATTTGTTTAAAATGTGGCTTCCTGGGCTTCCCTGGTGGCGCAGTGGTTGAGAGTCCGCCTGCCGATGCAGGGGACACGGGCTCGTGCCCCGGTCCTGGAGGATCCCACATGCCACGGAGCGGCTGGGCCCGTGAGCCATGGCCGCTGAGCCTGCGTGTCCGGAGCCTGTGCTCCGCAACGGGAGAGGCCGCAACAGTGAGAGGCCTGCGTACCGCAAAAAAACAAAAAACAAACCAAAAAAATGTGGCTTCCAGGCCCCATCCCCAGAAATTTTAATTGGTAGGTCCAGAGAGGCATCCCGAAATTGTAAGAAGCCCCTCAGGTGATTTTTTTTTTTTTTTTTTTTTTTTTTTTTTTTTTTTTTTTTGTGCGTGCCGTGGCCCTCTCCCTGCCGTTGCGGTACGCGGGCCTCTCACTGCTGTGGCCTCTCCCGTTGCGGAGCACAGGCTCCGGACGCGCAGGCTCAGCGGCCATGACTCACGGGCGCAGCCGCTCCGCGGCATGTGGGATCTTCCCGGACCGGGGCACGAACCCGTGTCCTCTGCATCGGCAGGCAGACTCTCAACCACTGCGCAACCAGGGAAGCCCCTGTCAGGTGATTTTTATTCACGTTAGAGATTGAGACACTCGTAGATCTGCAGAAACAAAGTCAACTAAAACCATCCCCGGGGATGGAAATAGGGAAAGTGGATGGTGGGGGACTTTGTGGAGGAAGGAGATGACCTGTTGTCCTTTACTGAGGTGTCTGCTGCAGTGAAAGCGGGTCACAATTAATTTCTTA